GGCAGCGTCGCCGCCATTGGGGGGTCCCCCGCCGCCGCCGCCGGATTCCTGGGCCGCCTTGTTCATGAGCACCACGTATATGCAGGTCACGACTGATCCCACGACGATCGAGATGCCCAGCAGCACGAGAATGACGGCCCACGGCCGCCGCCTCCATCGGCTGGCGAGGCTGCTGCAGGGAGCGATTCGCCAACGGCCCTTCTTCCGGGATCCTGGTTGTGTCTCGGCCTCTGCCGCGGCTGGCGACGTCTCCTTCTCGCCGCTGGGGGAGAGGATCAGACCCGGGTACCAGAAGGCCTCTGGCGCTGAACTGTCGCGGTGGGTGTTGTAAACCTCGGGCGCGTTCTGTGCAGCGGCATCGTTCTCGTGTTCTTCCGCTCTGTTGATGCGCCGAGGAAGGTGTGGTATCTGAAGACTTAGACCCATAACCGCCAGCGGGCGGCTTTCAGGGGTTGGATGGTTCCAGCCTCTGCTCCATGGATCTCGTTGGTGGTCCTCCCCCGTTGCAGAATCGCCGTTAGTGTTTCCATAATCGATGGGTCCTGCACCCCCACCAAAGACCAACTGATCCGCGGGCGATGCATTTACTTCCGGCTCATCCAGACTTCTTGCTTCTACAGCAGCACCCGACTGTCGATTCATCGTAAGGTGTCCAGGGTTTGTTTTTGTGATACATGCACATGAAGATGCACCGGAGCCGGGGAAGACGGAATGCGACACTTCTTCACATCCTGCACGCAGTGCCGTCCCTGGCCTGGGGTATAAGAGGCGCCATGGCTGTCACACGGACTGATCTCGGGCAAGACTGGCCGACGACTATGGGTTCATGTTGCTTTGGGGGCCGGTCTCAGGGGCTCCTGGGAGGTGCGGGCCATGTCTATTGTGGTAAGCTGAGCGAGATGAGGCATCGCCAGAAACTCAGGCTGGCCTATGGCGGGCCTTACCATCGTGGTCGACGCCGCATCCATGCAGCGGCAAGGCGAATCGGCATGGAAGGGTGGACATGAAGACCCCAGGCTTTGGGGGCGGCGTGTCTTTTGGTTGAGGCCAGGATCATGCAGCGGCGCTTAAGCATCTGTTCAAACAAAATAACCCAAACGAGACATAAAAAAACCAGTGCAGACCGTGAAGCCACAAGATTATATCTGAGTGAGATGGACAAAAATGCAAAAGAATGATCAGAGTGGGATTCGAACCCACGCCATTTTCATGACTAGCATGTCATCTGATCCGAAGACCATCCTGAAGCTAGCGCCTTAGACCGCTCGGCCATCTGACCTGTATCACTTGATGTGTGTTGTATGCCTTGCGGAGGCATAAGAGGAAACAGTCAGAGCCAAGATTTGTGGTCCGTTTTCGTTGTGATGGTATATCGCTTCGCTCTTCTGCTACCTAGGTATTCAATCGAAATGTCCTCTTTTTGGGATCAAATTTCTCTCAAACCCTACCGTGTCGATTTGAACATCGTGACGGCCTTTGACGGCTGTTCTTGATTACAGTGGGTGGGTTGGGACTGGTACAGTGGAGCGCCTGCTGGAAACCCCCTATCACCTCACCGTGGCCGCCCAGGGCATTCACCCTCAACCTCCCCAACACATTCTGGTGTTGTTCCGAACCAGCCCTCCCGTCGTTGCATATTTCTATCATCGGCCTTATATCCTTTCTCGGTTTCTCAATGAGGCGTCTCTCTACAGCTGTTTCCATCAGGACCAGTAGGACGTACAATGTAAGCACCTCTTAAAAGGGGCACTCTCTGAGGACAGTACTGAAAGAATACCACAGGATGCCATCGACCTGCTCAACACCCTGCAGACGCCCTTTGCCGTGGCCCAGGCCCGCGCCAAGACGGCCGGCACGCACCAAGCGCAGGCGGCATCCATGGCCGAGATGCGGGAGTGCCTGACCCGCATCGGCCACTCGCCGCGGGACCTGGACCGCCTAAACATCCTGCACGTCGCCGGCACCAAGGGCAAGGGCACCACGTGCGCCTTTGCCGACTCCATCCTGAACCAGTGCCGGCTCGCCCGTGGGGTCCCGGCCAAGGTCGGCCTGCACACATCGCCGCACCTAGTGTCGGTGCGCGAGCGGCTCAAGATCAATTCGGTCCCTGTCTCAAAGGAGTCGTTCGCCCGCTGCTTCTTTGACGTCTGGGACATGCTGGAGCACCACCGCCCGTCGCAAGCGCTAGGAGCGGAAGAGGACCGCCGCCTGGATCCCGTGAGCCGGAGCGCGGGGGGCAGCTACGCCGGCAAGCCAGTCTACGGCCGGTTCCTGACCCTCATGAGCTGGCACCTGTTCCTGAGCGAGGGCGTCGACGTGGCCGTGTACGAGACTGGCATCGGCGGTGAGTATGACGCCACCAACGTCGTCGAGCGGCCCTGCGCCACCGCCATCACGACCCTGGGCGTCGACCACGTCGCCGTGCTCGGCGGCACCGTCGAGGAGATCGCGTGGCACAAGGCCGGCATCATGAAGCCCGGCTGCCCGGCTTTTGCGGCCGCTCAGCCGCACCACGCCGCCGAGGACGTGCTACGCCGTCGCGCCGCAGAGAGGCGCGTCTCCCGCTATGAGGTCCTGGGCGTCGATCCCCGCCTCGCCGGCGTCGATGTCCGTCCGCCCGCCGACTTTCAGCGCAGCAACGCCACGCTGGCTATCGCGCTGGCTGGGGAGGCCATGAGGCGGCTGGACCCGGGTTTCTGGGAGAAAGGAGGAGGGGAAGGATCAGGAGGAGATGCGGCGGCCCTGCCCAAAGAGTTCGTCGATGGCATCGAAAAGGTGGTCTGGCGCGGGCGGTGCGAGGTGAAGCGGGAGGAGGGTATACATTGGCATCTCGATGGCGCACACACCCTCGACAGCCTGGTTCTCGCTGGGGGATGGTTTGCCACTGAAGTCGAAAATCGGTATGTATTTTCCTGTCCACATTTCCTAGGGATTATCCCTTCTGCCCCTTATATGCCATATCCCTTTGGCTTGTATAACAACAACTAATTAACACGCCCACAGTCCCGGACCCCGCATTCTCATCTTCAACCAGCAGTCCAGGGCGCAGGCACCCGAGTTTCTCGCTGAGCTTTACCAGGCCGCCAAGTCAAGGGACGGCAGAGGGTTTGACCGAGTGATATTCTGCTCCAACAGGACAAGCCCTAGCACAGACTTTAAGCGAGGTGAGCCTCGAGTCCACCATGCATTCTATTCCCTCCATCTGTATATGTATCTAAACCAATCCACTGCTGCAGAATTGATCAACCACACAGTCGACGCTGCCGAGGTGGACAAGCTCACAGTCCAGCGGGCATTCGCAACCGAATGGGCCGGGCTGGACCCGGCGTCGACCGTCTCGGTGGTGGGAAGCATACACGAGGCTATCGAAGAGGTGTGTAAAACCGCATCCTCCCTCCAGAGCCCAAAGGCGGGCGGCAGTCTTGAAGGCGGAAAGGCAGTGGCCGTTCAGGTGTTGGTTACGGGCAGTATTCATTTGGTGGGAGGAACTCTGGGAATATTAGAGGGTGCGGAAACCCTCTGATAGGTGGTATTAAAGTTTCCAAGAAGCGGAATTAACCACAGAAAAATCCATATGATACCCATATCGAGTCCCGTTTGTAGGCTTCGTATACGGTCCTGCCACGCGGGATTCCCGTCGTGCTGTTATACCTGTGACCTCCAGACCCTCCGCTGGTGCAATTCATCATCATTCCCCTCGTGCAGCACCAAGAAGCCCTTGACAAGGTTGAAACTGCCCGTAACCAGGACGTGGACGGGTCGAGACGTGGAAGTCGGCGATTCCCCAGACGCAGCGCCGAGCTTCTCGCACTCGGCCTTGGCCATGGCCACGTTGTCGAAAACCGCAGTCCTGTGAGAGCCACCCGCTACGTGCTGCTCCATACGCCTCTGCGCCGTCAGCTCCCTCTCCGCCTCTAGGTTGGCGTAGGGCTCGTTGCGCGTTAGCACGACGAGGTCGCAGCGCAGGCCCGCCATGCGCAGCTGCGAGAGGACCTCCGCGAGCAGCTCCGGCGCGTGGCTTCGCTCCTGCTGGTTGAACATGACGGCGACAGCCGGGTGAGGGACTCCTCGGCTCGCGTCGGACGCGGACGGCAACGCCTCTTGCACACACGCCACAAACCAGCGGGCGGCGGCCGTGAGGCTCTCGTGCGTGTGTGCCCCGTCCAGATAATAGTAGGCCTTCCTCATGACCGGGGACGCGAACGGCCGGAGGTGCGTCTCGTCGGGGATCTCGCACGAGACGACCTCGCCGCGGCCACGGGGTGCGACGCCGCGCATAGCCTTCATGTGTTCCGGCTGCACGATCTCTTCCCAGCGGCCGGTGGACTTGCGCGGGAACAGGGCAAAGCGGTTGACTAGGTCGACGGGGGCCTCGTGGGGTTGGATTGCCTTTATTCTAGGCCTGTGGCCTAGCGCCTTCTCCTGCCTCAGCTTACGAATGTGCTCCCTGACAGCGCTGACAGCCAGCGACATGTTCAGCATGGCGTAGGGCCGTCGCAGGGCAGCCTGACCGAGCAGCTCCTGTGCACGGACGGAGGGCACACATTCGCCAATATTGTCAGGCACGTCTATCATCATCTCGACCCTGTTGCGGAGAGCGCGCGCCCAAAACACGGCCATGACGGCGTTGGCGCCGCTCGCTTCGGCGGGATCCTTGCTTATTGGTAGCCCTAACTCCAGCCTCTTCTTCAAGAGCGCCTCGTCGTCGGGGCGGAACGGCGGCGGTCTAGGGGCGCCGTGCGCGTCGGGCGAGTCGCTGTGGTTCAGCCACCACATGAACTCGTAGGCGCCATGGGACACGTGCGGCCGGACGACGACCGCAGCGGCACCCGGCTTGAAGATGCCTGCCTTGTGCCAAGCGATGGAGCCACGCGTGTCGCCCAGCATGTCGGCGTGCTCGATCTCTATCGAGGTCACGACGGCGACGGTAACACGCCCGCTGTCCAGGAAGTTGGTGGCGTCGTACTCGCCGCCGATGCCACATTCGATGACGGCAGTGCGCACGTTGGCGCCACGGAACACGTGGAAAGCCAACAGGGTCATGAAGCGGAAGAAGAAGGGCATGCGTCCGGCGGCCGCGATCTCATCGTCTTCGACGAGCGGCCAGCGCTCGGTGGCGCGGATGCCCCTCTCGTGGCGAACGTCGTAGCGGTGATGAATTTCGGGCTCTGTCTGCCGTAGCCGCCGCCAGAGCTCAAAGAAGCGGCGGGCGAAGAGCTCCTCAGACACAGGCTCGCCGTCGAGCATAATGCGCTCGCGGACTGAGACGACATGCGGGCTCGTGTAGGTGCCGATGGTGCCCAGGTCCCCGACTCCCTCGTAAGGGCCGCCCCTGAGCAGGAGAGCCGTGGCGAGGGCAGCAACAGTGCCTTTGCCCTTGGAGCCGGCGATGTGAATGCAGCGGAGGCGGGAGCTGCTCTCATCGTGCGTCTGTCCGGCACGCTTGAGAAGAATCCGCATCTCCTGAAGCGAGTCGTTGTTGAGCCTCTGCCGCTCGCTCTCTCCGCCGCTGCCATCCCTGGCCTTGACCTCGCCGCCGAACTGGGAACGGACGGCCTGATTGGTGGGGATGAGCGAGAGCAGCCGGAGTGCCGTCTGGTAGTCCTCACGCAGCACCTTCCTCTGCATCAGGGACACCGCCTCTTGCGGGCGGCGTGCCGCGGCGGACTGGGGTAATGGACTGTCCAAGGCCTGTGCTGGTATCAGCGGCTCATTGAGCGGCAGCGTTCGTGGTGTCCGACGTCGCCCGGCGCCAACGCGGCGAGCGCCGGCGGTCGCGGCGGCCATGCGACGGATCATGGCGCCGGTGGGCGGCGAAAGCAAAACGGCCTCGAGGACCGTCTTTCAATGTTCATGGCAGACTTCGGGATATGTGATGCCATGCACTACAGGCACGGGAGCTGCTGACAAAAAATTCAATGGTGAGGTCGAAGCTGATACAAAGTGGGGGCCGCTCTTGTGGTTTAGGCAGCTAACCGCTAATACGACCCAGTAATTTAGGGGATCGCAGTCTGTTTGGTGATGTCGACAGTGACGGCGGAGCCTGAGCTGAGTCCCACCCCCAACAAAATTGAGCTCTGTGAAACACCAAAAACAGTGGTCGAGTCCTCAATTCATTCCCGTCTCTTTCATCATCCTCCTCCAACAATCCAACAACCAGCTCCCCCGCCATGGCCGAGACAGAGGCCGCACCGCAGCAAGACACGCTGGCGCACGTGCGCAAGCACTGGCAGTCGATAGAGCCCAACTCGCCCGTGTATGGCTTCTTTTTCCCCCGCA